GTCCCCCAGTCTAACAGTTACGGTAAAACTATGTGAGGGTTATGATTAAGTTAGGGTTAGCCTTAGTTGGGGTTAAGGTTAGTGTTAGGTTAAGTTAGGTTAGTGTTAGGATTAGGTTATGGTTAATGTTAGGTTAGGTAAGGGTAAAGGTTAGTTTTAGGTTAAGTTAGGTTAGTGTTAGGATTAGGTTATGGTTAATGTTAGGTTAGGTAAGGGTAAAGGTTAGTTTTAGGTTAAGTTAGGTTATTGTTAGGATTAGGTTATGGTTAATGTTAGGTTAGGTAAGGGTAAAGGTTAGTTTTAGGTTAAGTTAGGTTATTGTTAGGATTAGGTTATGGTTAATGTTAGGTTAGGTAAGAGTAAAGGTTAGTTTTAGGTTAATTTTGCATCAGGCTAAGATTAGTGTTAGGTTGGGTTATGGTAATAATGAAGAAGTCCATATGAAGTCCTAAAGTGGACTTCAGTTATCACAGGTATGAGAAACTTGACCTCTGATAAATACTAATTGCAATACTGGATTTGGCAATCTGTTAGTCCTTGAGCAATGCTCTGGTAAAAATAGTTATTGTTGCAGTAGTAGTAGTAACATCTTTATTATCATAAAACGATATTAAAAAACATGGATTTAAAATTGTTGGTTTAGACGTTAGGTGTTAGAAGTTAAATAACCATGTAGCATTGTGAAAATGATTCATATAAGCCTTTATTCCGTAGCATGTAGAGAAAGCGTATATAGACTGCAGATTTAAATGTAAATTTAAAATGAGTTGTTTCTAACAGATGTTAAAATGGATGTCATCCACTCAGCAGTAGGAGACAGAAAGGGTGTAGACATTGTCTACTCACTAGTGGGAGCAGGAGGTGTGTGTATATTGTCCATTCAGCAGTGCGAGGCAGGATGGGTGTGTGTACATTGACCACTTGGTAGTGGGAGGCAGGAAGTGTGAGGATGTTATCCAGTTTTCAACGTGAGGCTGGAAGAGTGTGGTGACGTACTAGGCTCATCAGTGTGTGTTACCAACAAGGCTCGTAAAATTTTGTCCTGGTTTCGATGATTGCAGCTAGGTCAAACAGAGACGTTTTCGCCTGTCAGGCAGCTGGTTTATGACAAGGGAACGCGGCAAGCGACGATGGTAATCGTGTTGCGAGAAGAGGGCATTTTCCAGGCACTCGTCACGTACAAGGGAGCCAAGCTAAAACACTCAGAGTTTAACATTATTGTCCTCAATGGTGAGTTCCTGGTAAACTCGCTAGTTTTAGATGGGCATACCTCAAGCTTGTGGTTGGTTGAGGTATGCACTTTATTGTAGGGTTGTGTGGTTGTTTTGTGTGGTAGAGTTTGGTTTTTAGCTCATCTGACAATAGTCAGATGCAGCTTGTAGAATCGCTTGATCGTCCGTCCGTCCGAGCGTCCGTCAACAGTTGGGCACAAATCTTAACCGCTCGACATACGGTCACAATATTCGGGACGTGGGGGGGTATTCCGAAAACGAGTTGGGATGTCGAAGCTGGGGGTCAAAGGTCAAAGGTCAAGAGGTGTAAAAGAAGGGGGAACATTCACTCCTTAACTTAAGGTATAGGAGGAGAATGCAGAAATCTGCGGCACAAATCTAACGGCTTCGACCTAGCTCGTGATAGTCGGTGTATAGCAGTCATGATAGGAAAACCATCACTGTGCGCGAAATTGGAGTCACAGGTCAATAGGTCAATGGGCACAGGGCGAGATTTTAAGACATTTTCTGCAGGACATGGTGTGACGGAGCGATTCGGAAAAACTTTTTTGTTTCGCGGTGACCTAGCATTTTTATGCTTATTGAAAGAACCATGAAAGATGCTTCTGCTCACTGACACATGCGAGAGTAAGATGTCGGGGAAACCTTTTGCGCCTCAAGAGGAGGGTTTAACATTGATTTGTTGATGTTTAACAAAGGACTGAACTGCCTTTTGCTATTATTAGAGCGCCATACTGTGTCAATGTGAGGCTACAGTTGCAGCAGTTTTAAATTGCAAGGGCAAATGTTTGTTGAACAAGTGTTTACGCTCGCTTAAATCATATGATTTCTAAAGCAGTCTGTGCTATAGCACCCTGCCTGGCCTGAAGGCTGAATGATGATCAAGTGAATGCCGCATGAGCAAAGAACACAGGCAGCCCATGGCTGCACGCTTCTTATCATACAATTGTTTGGCCTGGCCAACGCCTGCAATGCACCTGTTAACTCACAGCTGATTGCAACTGGCCTGAATATGACTTACTTGGATTTTAGCCTGTACTACTGTAGGATTTCAGGAACGATGCCATCTTTTGAATTATTGATTAGCACTTGCAGCGCGCCATATCTTCGCGGCAACTATAGGCTAGTTTAAATTTAGATTTTATTCTCATGTAAACTGTTGTTACAACGAAAAGTAAATATATAACGTAGTACCATATAATATATAATATTTACTTTTCATCTGAATCTGAACATATATCATGTAGCTATGGCGTGCGTATCCGATTTAACGCCAGTTGTGGGCGAACAGTAAGCTGTTACCATAGAAATATTAGAAGACCACTATAGTATTTATGATTTTACTATGACTGTACACTCATGGGCATAGGAAGAAAGCATGTATTGAGGGGGCAAGTAAAAGGGCATCATGCGCTGGTTTTAATTGTTTTTTATATCAATTAAGAGAGAGAGAGAGAAAGTCGTAAGATAAAGAGAGAGAAGAGAGTGAGTAAAAGTTGAACCGGGGACAGGAAAACGGTGATGACGGTGTGTAGCGAGCGGGAAACGGGTTACAATAGGTCGTGCGAGATGGTGTGGCAAGGGATGGGAGAGTGGAGCGCCAGGGGGAGGGAGGTCGAAGGCAGGGGGAGGGAGTATGGGAGGTGAAGGGGCTGAAGTGAGAGGCAAGGGGAGTGAAAGTGAGAGGCAGGGGAGGAGGAGGGAGGGAGGTTGGGAGAGGACTCCCCGCCCCTCTATATTATTACTTGGAGATCCATGCTCATATGTTGAAATCTTTATAGATAGATATAAAATAGAATAGCTGTGAATCTAATGATCAGCCAAATTCGAAGTGAAAGGCAAGTATCATTTAATAAACATAAACCAAATCGGGCATGGGGGGGAGATAGTGAGGTGTTCGCTAACAATGTGTGTGTACCGAACTGCGTATGCTGCATATCTGCGCCTAACAAATGTGTCACTACGCACGACTGAAATTGTACGTTCATAACCGTAGCAACAGATCCCAGATGAGCCCAGACGCTCTGCGGCTCTTGTTGGTTGCAGTGACTGAGTACTTTTAATATTGTCAATCAGGGAATGAAACCATTTAGTTCAGTTATTCGTTGGTGGGCTTATACGTCGACGGCGCGCAGCTGTGACATGTTCTCCTGCGTGCGTTTTGCAGCCAATGAAGCAGCGGTCGTAAAGAAAAATGTCGACACGCGAAGTCATGACTGTTACTATGAAGCCAAGATGACGACTGTTGGCTACGAGAGGTTTACAAAGAGCAAGAAAGTTTATATCTACATCTCGCCAAAGGTGCTGCGTACTTTTTTGTAGATGTTTTATCTGTAGCTAATGTTCAAAAATATTTCAGAGCCTAGGGATAACGTATTAATGCACGTTGTGTCAAGGTACCGCTCACTGAAAATGTTTTGCTTTCTTTTCCAGCAAGTAACTGTGAAAGAGTTCATTTTGAGAATCATTCCAATGAGATTGTATACATTCCGACTTTGTCCGTCTACAAAGGTAACAGCACATGTAGTAGAGTACTAATATCATTGGCACATGCAAAATTAAAGCCAGTGACTGTATTACCCTTGTGTAATTGAATGCTATCTGTGCATGGTATAGCATGTGCAGGTTTGTACTGGCCCTTCTACGTATCGAGACTGGGCCGGTCACTGGTGCATTGGTGCCGTCAATGATCATACGTGCGTGTCTGTTGTTGCAGTTTATATTCCACTCGAACAGCGATGGTGAAGACGATCATGCGTTCACGATTGACGATGGCTCACAGCCACCGCTGCGCCTCACCTCTCCCGACTGCAACGTGATCAGTGCCACCTTCACACAGTTCTTGCTCAAGAATATCGGTAAGCATTTGCGAAGAGGTTGCCTGCACGAACAGATGTCTGGCGTACATGTTCCTAGTGTATCGTGTCAATCCGAAGTCACCTGAGCTGTTGTAACATCGATACTTGGCAGCAGTTTTCAAGATGTCGTGAATTAGATGATTTTGTTGCGGCATTCTCTGTGCCATCATTAACATTACTTCTAATCGTTCTGTAAACTATTTTCACGTCTTAGCTTTCTATTCTCTGTTCTCTTTGCAGGAGGATCGGAGACATTTCGAGACAAGCAGAACTTTTTCTTCCACGAGGTACGCAAGCTGCACCAGAAGAAGAGCCGAGATAAGCTGTGTATTCGCGTGCATCGTGACCGTCTGCTTGAGAGTGTAAGTGTGTAAATGTCACGCCAGCATTCTGTCACATCTAATATATATTTGAGTTCGTATGTATGTATCTATGTATCTATGTATCTATGTATCTATGTATCTATGTATCTATGTATCTATGTATCTTCCCTATAGGCGGCCAAACCGCCCAAGCGATCTGGATGCAATTTTCACAGGGCCATCTCTTATACCCCGGGCGTGTTCGTAGCTGAAAAAAACCTGTCAAACCGTCAAACTCGCCGAAAAATCCGTGAAAAACCCCTCAAATACGCAATCTTCACACAATGTCAGCACAGCCTATGGCTATTGATTTTCTTGCCCTCACCTCATGATCTCATCAGCTGCTGGTATTGTGAAACCGAAACGGAAATCGAAACTAAAACAGAGCATAACCACGGCCAGTTCAGAGGTACTATACTCACTCTCAGTTCACAGTTTCGGTTCAGATGCTACGATCTGAGAATGCATTGTACCATTCCAAAGCTATGCATTTTCTGATTCAATACAAAAATTTCTGATGCTACGATCTGAGAATGCATTGTACCATTCCAAAGCTATGCATTTTCTGATTCAATACAAAAATTTCTTAATTTACGATCTGAGAATGCATTGTACCATTCCAAAGCTATGCATTTTCTGATTCAATACAAAAATTTCTTAATTTACGATCTGAGAATGCATTGTACCATTCCAAAGCTATGCATTTTCTGATTCAATACAAAAATTTCTCAATTTCAATGTGAGAATGCATTGTACCATTCCAAAGCTATGCATTTTCTGATTCAATACAAA